CAGCTGCATGATCTTGGCTCACTGCAACCTCTGTCTCTAGGACTCAAGCAATCCTCCCACCTCAGCCTCCTCAGTAGCTGGGACCACAGGCATGCACCACCACCCCAGGCTAATTTTTGTATGTTTTGTAGAGACTGGGTTTCGCCATGTTGTCGAGGCTGGTCTTGAACTCCTGAGCTAAAGCATTCCACCCATCTCAACCTCCCAAAGTGCTGGGAATACAGGCCTGAGCCACCACACCCGGCCTTAAAAAGAACTTTTTATGCCAACATGAAAAATTAACTTTCTATATCCACAAATAAGAATATCATTTTAAGACAAAGTGACACTTGATTTTGTCCACTGAGGGAAATCCACAGGTTCTCAATGTTAAATGAGCAAATAAAAGTTGACATTCTATTAGTAAAAGTGAAATAAACCCATCAAATATTCTTCTCTAGATAGTCATTTCACCCTACAAAGGTGCCTACAAGTAAAATGGGGCTATTCTCAAAGGAGAGTTTTAAACATACTTGAGGCACATATACAAGTAACTGCTGGAAACCCCACAACAGTCTGTGACACAGAAACTAGTGCTTCTCAAACCATCTGTAGTGAAGGATCACTTTTCCCCAAAATTTGTTCTAGGCCAATACAATTTCAAAAATATCATGAAGATGTAAAATTGCTAGAAAATTTCCACATGCTTACTCTCAATTTCTTTCCTCATCTTACTGCAGAGCAGTAACAGTTTATAGACTATCACCAACCTGTGGACCACACTTTAAGTAGCAGAGACATAAAGCACAACTAAAATGATAAGTGGGGCCCGGCATGGTGGCTCACTCCTGTAATCCCAGCACTTTGGGAGACCGAGGCAGGTGGATCACCTGAGGTCAGGAGTTTGAGACCAGCCTTGCCAATATGATGAAACCCCGTCTCTACTAAAAAAAATAAAATAAGCTGGGTGTGGTGGCACGAGCCTGTAGTCCCAGCTAATCAGGAGGCTGAGGCAGGAGAATCACTTGAACCCGGGAGGTGGAGGTTGCAGTGAGCTGAGATTGTGCCACTGCACTCCAGCCTGGGCAAGAGACTCCATCTCAACAACAAAAAAAGATAAGTGGCCATTATCCAGTCTCCAGATTTTTTGATTGACTTAGCAGATATTTATTTGTTTGTTGTTTGTTTTTTTAAAACAGTCTTGCTCTATCACCCAGGCTGGAATGCAGTGGCATGATCTCCACTCACTGCAACCTCCACCTACCAGATGCAAGGGATTCTTGTGCCTCAGCCTACTAAGCAGCTGGGACTACAGGAAAACACCACCATGCCCATCTAATTTTTTGTAATTTTCGCAGAGAGGTTTCACCATGTTGGCCAGGATGGTCTCAAACTCCTGACCTCAAGTGATCTGCCGGCCTCGGCCTGGCCAATTAGCAGATATTTACTGAGTATCCATGTGCTAAATACCTCAGGATTAATCCTGTGAAATGTCTGATTCTGAGCAACAGTCTCTGTTCCACTCTATATAAGTTAGTGGCCACATATCCCCAGATAGCTAAATGCAGTTACTTTTCATTGACCATCTAATACTTTGGATGACTATTTTAGTTTTGACAGAATTCATTTAAATCTTTCAACAGTATTTTGGCATCAACTCCTTAATGCTCCCATAGCATACTCCTAAATTCAACCATTCAATAGAATAATTACATAATATCCAAATAATCAATGACATTTGAATAGCCTAGTACTACTCTGTACACTATATACACAGTAGAGAACAAAATAGACACTGCCCCATCTCCCCTCCCCACTACCTTGCAACATACACCAATACCCTACCCTCAAAGAGCTTACATTCCAGTGGGGAGAGAGACAGTAAACAAAACAAATACAGAAAATATATTTTCGATTGTGATAAGTACCATGGAAAAAAATGAAAAAATGAAGCAGAGTGGGGGGTAGGATGTGTGAAACTGAGGTAGAGGCAGTGGGGGTGGACAAGGGACTTCGTAATTTTAAATAGGGTCGCCAGAGAAAGCCTCACTGAGTATATTTGAACAAAGACCTGAAGGAGGTGACGAAGTGATCCAAGCAGATAATGGGGAGAAGAGTGTTCCAGAAAAAAATACAAGGACCTTAAGGCAGAACGACAGTTCAGGAAATAGCAAGGAATGTGGGAGAACTTACTCTTTTCATACTTCTGTAATTGCAACACCCAGTTACTCTAAAATCTTCCATTGGATTTTCAGTGCTTTCAGGGCAGAAATCAAATTTTATTCATCTTTGTATCCCCAATCCTTACTTGTTGAGTAATGAAATTGTTTAAGCTACAGTATTATGACATTATGATAACACAGATATGTACTCTCTCTCCCCCTACATCCCTCCCGTAAACCAGCTCCTTTATGTTGTATGGCTATAAAAAGATTGCTGCCTACCCAATCAGAAATCTCAATTATCTTAGATTCTTCCTCCTTCTACACACTTGATATCCAGTCAGTAACTAAATCCTGTCAATTCTCGTTTTCATCATTATAGTGGCCCTCCAATTGGTCTCTTTTGCTGCAGCCTTTCATCCCAAACAGATATTTCAAATGAAAAAGACAATTTGCATTCATTTCTGGATATAGTAAGTAATTTTAAACTCTTGGCCTCATTTTATATGTAGCCTACATGTTTACAAAATTTAAGCCAATCATTACATGTTTTCGTTGAAATGTGACCCTGGCAGTTTTTATAATAATTTGAGGACTACCACAATCAGGAAATTCAATGATTAGTACTGAGGTCCAACAATGGATTTGCACGTGCCTATCACCCTCACCTTCACGTTCCTAGAAATTCAATCTAAACAGCTTGCATATTCAATTTTCCTTTGTAATTTCAATTGGACATGGTATTCTTCCCTTTCCATTGTGAAGTCAGCAGCCCAGTGTCAACAGCTGCTAGGTCTCACCACATCGCAAGTAAGAGATGGCTTTCTATTTCAAGCTATGCAATTTTAGTTAACATACAGAATGAGTATACACAGGCGCTTACTGTCTAATTGGCTAGAGTAAGGGTGTGTTCTCCGGTAATGAAGAAAATCTTCTAATTTGTCTAATTCACTTACAAAATTACTCTATCAGTGCATCTTAAGCACTATGTAGTAGAGACAGGATTTGGATTTTCTTTTTTAAATCGCAGATTTCAGTGGTATCGGCTTATGACCTGAGTAATCTGTTTAACCTAAGCTTCAGTTTTCCTCATTTTGTAAAATGAGAATAATTATATTCTCACTGGGTAACTGCAAGAGCAAATGAAACCATGTGAAAGTGCAAAACAAATGCTAGTAGTTGTTACACATGGCAAAATGGCCCAGAGCATGGTTGTTTTCAGAGCTTTTTGAAACTACAGGTAATTCAAAGTCAGTACCTATACATTTAAATTATCTTAATAGTCAGAGTAAAAAAAAAAAAAAAAAACTATTGTGGGGGAGGATAAGAGTTTAGATCTTCCAAGTACCAAGTGTGTATTCTTTCTAGAAATCATTGTGTGGTGGGGGTGGGGGTGGGGTGGGGGAGGCCGGGGTTATTCTACTCATACATGGTTTCATACTCAGTGAAATCTCAAACAATAACTTGCTTTAAACAAAGAATAATTAATGGCTAGTTTGCAAACAATACCATTTTAGCAGACAGTTCTTAAGTCCAGTAAAATGTGCAAAAAACTAAGCAAGGTTTTCTCTGTATACAAATCTTGTCTTTTATTTTTTTAAGACATCCCTGAAGTTTTCTGGGGAAACCAAAAAGGGCAAGAAATCGGTCTTGGGTGGCTCAAAGAAACTGGTACTCACTTGTACCCTGCGGCTATACATTATACACAGGAAAAGGAGGAGGGACCCAAGGAGGGAGTGGTGCTCCCGAGCGTGGTCCATTAATTCACATTTTGCTCTCTTCTGTTCACATCCTGCAAGGACTCCACCCAAGGCAACCGAGCGAGGGGGTGGGTGGGACTCACAGCCTACCAAATAACAGTCCCAGAAATCGAAACAAAATCGAGGTGGAATTCTGAAAACACAGCTCACCCAGAAAGAGGGGTGGAGAAGGAGCGCGAGAGGAGACCCTTCTTTTGGCAGAAAAGGTATCCCTGGCCCTCGCTGCTTCCTGGGGGCCTCCCTCCCCTCAATCACAACCAGTTCCCTCCTCTCCCACACATGGAAGGAGGAAGACACACACAGAGAAAGGCCACTCATTCTTGGAACGTGGGCGGAGAACACACAAGTATTCCTCAGAGAATTTCAAAGGGAAATCGAGGAAGGGCAACCTGGAAGAGGAGGAGGAAAGGAGGAAAGGAAACTGGCTGCCGAGCTGGGACGGTGGAAAGGAACTAAGCAGATAGCCGGCTAGGGCCGGCGCCCCAGTAAAGCAGCGCTACCTGTTGAATGGAACTGGCCCTGCGGAGGCGGAGGGGGAAGAGGGCGAGTCACCCCAGAGAGCGCCGCCGTTGTCCCCAGAGCAGCCTCGCCGGAGCTGGTGGCGAGGGATCTCAGCCCCAGTGCCTGCGGGGCCCCACCCTGAGAAGCCTTGGCTGCAGACAGTGATGAGAGACACCGACAGAAACAAGGGAGAGGCGCACGACTGGAGTAGGTCTGGCCCGCTCCCGCGGTTAGTCACTCACATCTGATACTCGTCTATCGCCTCCACCAGCTGGCCCCAAGAGTCGAAGTCGGCGCCTCTCCTAAAACTGGCGCCCCAGCGCTGCAGCAGACTCCGGGTCACCTCCGACATGGCCGGTCCCCACCCCGTCCCCTCCCGCCCCTACCCCAGCAAGGCCGGGTTCTAGGGCGCCATCCTCCCCGGGCCTGGCCCCGACATTAACAGGACCCGGAGGAACCGCTACAGCCACCACCGCCACCCGCCGAGGAGCCGCCCAAGCCCATTTGCCGCCACAGCCAAACTTTGCGGCTCCAAAGCGACCGCCCCACCGAGACACCGCCCCTGAGGCTCCGCCCCGTGTTAGGTTGAGGCCGCCCCACTCCGCCGGGGGCTGCCATCGTTATTGCGGCATCCTTCCGCGGCTCCGGAGGCAGAGCCACGTTTTCTCTTCCTGTCTGGGAAAAAGACCATAGCTGAAAAGGAAGGCGGAGGGAGGAGAAGTCGGAAAGGGCTGATGAACGGAGCGTTCTGAGGAGACTGCGACGCCGCGGCAGTCCCCGCCTCTGAGCTGAGCTCACTACCGCCTCGGTAGCTGTCATGGCCGCAGGGCCACGTGACTCCGGCTTGGCGCCGGCCTGGTTTCCCGTCACTCTGGTTCTGTAGTCTCGGTTCTCCGACTCTGTCTTTTTCTCGCTTGTGGACTCGGATATTGCCTTTCTTCCCTTAGAAGAACTGCTGTACCGACTCTGAGAAACTTGGTAAGTATGTCAGAGGATGGGTGTTTCCCAGTAATACCCCCCCGGGGTTTCCCCGGAGTCCCAAGCAATAGGATCACCCCCTTTTACATTAGTCTCCATAGACTCCTGGACAGTCGACCAAAAGGCTCCTTCTAATGCCTTGAAACAAACGACAGAAAGAAAACCATATTGGGCCCCACAAATCAGTGGCATTAACAGCTAGCCCGTCGCATCCTCTTGCCCCGCATCTCCATTGGTCATAGGAGAGCGTATAATGCAAGCTAAACTGGGGTTCATTCGGCCGCCGTCTGCCCATCTCTCCCGGGTTGACAGTATCGGCTTTCCACCAAAATGCCTGTTTAGAAAGGGGCACTCAAGTGTTAGCGCTTGCGCACAGTCGCTGCCGCCGCCAAGAAAGGGACAGGGCACGGGAGGAAGAGGCTGGGTGGTAAACAGGAAGTGGATCCTCAGAGCTCGGGGGCGGCGCTCAGGTAGGTTCCTCCGGGGACTCGGGGCCTCCGGAGTAGGGGTCCCTTGTCAGGAACTGGAGTCCTCTTGTGGAAGTGTGTTAGCCAACAGCTTCGATCCGAGTGATGTGTTGGTGGCTCTAAAGGCACCCTTGTCCCTGTGGGTGGGTGTGTCGTTTTTCTGTCCCACCCTAGGGACTCCCGCAAACTGAAGAGCACTGAGTCGCAGGTGGGGAGATAGGGCAGGGGCAGAAACGTACCCTCTTCTTTCCTGAGGTAAAGACATGCAAAACTTAAGACATTTTCATCCAGCAAGTGGGAGGCCGCTTTAAAAGAAATATATCTGTAGATTTGCTTTCGCAGCATCTAGTGCTCAGTGTGACATTAACGCTAAAAATTTATTTATAGGCACATAGATGTTGTATTAGGCTATGGAGATTTATGTGGGAGATGTGTAGATGATGATATTTTCTGAAAGAACTCGTTAAATGTTTTAAGTCCTAAATAAACCTGCTCAGTTTTTCGTTGCATTCTGTATTCATTAATGTGGTGCTCCTCAAAACCGGTTTTGTCATGAATAAATAAATTGCATAAAGGAAGCACTTAATGTAGGCATTTCATACACTGCACAGCCCACATTATTTTTTAATAATAGAAAAAGTCGATTGTCCGGCTTGTACAGTGCCTTCAAATTAAGTAAACCTTATCAGAATTACTTCTCTCGTTACTTCCTGGAATCTAATTGCCATGTTTAAGTCTTCGCCTTGGCTTTCTCCATATTATTTGCTGCACTACCTACCCAAGGACATTTAGACAAGACATATGCTGCTTTTTTTTTTAAACGTGGAAGGCGTCGAACTTTTTTTTTTTTTAGTTGACATCTCACTTAGGTAGTTTTAAAAGTTTTTTTTTTCCCTTTTTTGAGACAGGATCTTACCCTGTCGCCCAGACTAGAGTACCATAGGGAGATCAGGGCTCACTGCAGCCTCTACCTCCCGGGCTCAATGGAGCCTTCCCCTTCAACCTCCCCAGTCGCTGGAACCACAGGCATGGCTACCATACCCGGCCAATTTTTGTGGAGACGGAGTCTTACTGTGTTGCCCAGGCTGGTCTCAAACTTATGAGCTCAAGCGATCCAACCACCTCGGCCTTCCAAAGTGCTGAGATTAAAGGCATGCGCTACCGCGCCTGGCCCAGTGTTTTCATTTTTATAATAGAATGTGTTTGTCAAGTATTAGATTACATTTTTATTTTAAGAATAATCTTTAGCTATTTTTTGGAAAGTACGTTTTACCATAGAACACATGCTATAACCAGTCCACTGTTGTCAGCAATATTTTAGAAATACAGCAATTCCCTTAAAACTTACTACAAGTAGCCTGAGCAGTATAGTCAGGGTTACCATTTGAACCCCTTTTGGAAATTACATTCATCTGGTCCTGTGCCCTTTTACTTGCAGTTGTCCAACCAAAATCTAGTACTTTGCTATTCAAAAGTGTAGTCTGGGGACCAGCATCGTCAGCATCTCAGGTCCTACCCCAGTCTATTGAATTAGAGCCTGCATTTGACAAAACCACCCACCCCCAGATTATTTTTATGTGTTTTAGAGTTTAAACATTACTACTCCTAAATAGATGTGTTAAGATTGAAGTTATTGTGGGCAGATTTTCAAATGCTGTTCTGCTTTTTTTTAATAGGCCTGATCTGAATATAGACTGCCATAAATAGACAGTTAAACCAAGATTGAGGCCGGGCATGGTGGTTCATGCCTGTAGTCCCAGCACTTTGGGAGACCCTGGCAGGTGGATCACTTGAGGTCAAGAGTTTGAGACCAGCCTGGCCAGCATGGTGAAACCCTGTATCTACTAAAAATAGAAAGATTAGCCGGGCATGGTAGCACATGCCTGTAGTCCCGACTACTTAGGAGGCTGAGGCAGGAGAATTGCTTGAACCCAGGAGGTGGAGGTTGCAGTGAGCTGAGATCAAGCCACTGCACTCCAGCCTGGGCGACAGAGGGCGATTCTATCTCAAAAAAGAAAAAACAAGATTGATTGTGACAATGAAGCATTTTATTTGTATATTACATATATATTTTATGCATGATAGTTATGTATAAAATCTGCATGTACTGTAAACTTTTAGAAATAACTTTATACTATTTACCTTGTTTATTAAATATTTTTAATTTTTGTACATTTTTTACTTTTTTGTCTATAGAAAACATCTGGAGAAAATGACCCACTGGTTTCATAGGAACCCATTAAAAGCCACAGCTCCTGTGTCTTTTAATTACTATGGTGTAGTCACTGGCCCTTCTGCTTCAAAAATATGCAAGTAAGTTCATTGATTGAACCACTCTTAGATGCAAGGTACTTTTTTTGGTTCTATGGTCAGTACAGAAATATGTAACACACTGTTTCTAACTTTAAGTTCCTTATACATTTGTAAATGGCATGTGAAGAGTTAAATCAGATTATTTAAACTTTGTCAAGTATTCTAGGCTTGGATCCTTAATTTTAGATCAGTAAATGAGTCCCAGAGAGGCTAAAGCAATCAGAGTAAAACAGTTAATCTATGTATTACAACATTACGAGAGACTCCACAAAGTAGTATATGGGCATTTTTATTTTTTTTGAGATGGAGATTTACTCTTGTCACTCAGGCTGGAGTGCAATGGCTTCATCTTGGCTCAATGCAACCTTTGCTTCCTGGGTTCAAGCTATTGTCTTGCCTCGGCCTCCCAAAGTGCTGGGATTATAGGCATGAGCCACCACACCCAGCTGTATAGGGACATTTTAAATTGGCCACATAGTTAACTTGTGGAGTTCAGAGCAGGGAGAGAGATCCCTGTGACCTGAAATGGCCTTTAGAGTATTCATATAGGGATAGGCCTTGAATGTATTGTATGGCTTAGACTAGGGGTTGGCAAACTGTGTCCTATGGGTTTGGGCCACTGCATGTTTTTATAAATAAAGTTTTATTGGAACACAGCCAGCCCCACATTTATTGACATATTGCCTATGCCTGCCTCTGGCTGCTTTCCTCTACAACAGCAGAATTAAATAGTGCCAGTGGATACCTCATTACCAGAAAAGCCTGAAATGTTTACTATTTGGTGCTTTCCAAAAAAATATTTGGATATTCCTGATTTAGATTGTCAGAGGGGAAGGGAGAAGGTCATTTCTGTCAGGAAAACCTTTATGCTAATGATAGTAAGTAGAGCAATTTGGCTGAAACAAAAGATATAAATGCAAAAGATGTTTTGAAGGAGGAGTCAATGGATCTGATTGACTAATTTGCCTTGGGAGGTTGAAAAGGATTCAGTCTATATGAGATACAGACATTGGTGGTACTAATGAAGAAAAATCTGAAGAGTTGCTGCTTTTATGGGAGCAAGTGATTAGAACAAAAGATAGGATAATTGGCTTAATCTAAACCAATGGTCAGTAAACTTTTTTTTAAGCTACATCATATTGATTTTAGGCTTTGTGGGCCACATACAGTCACTATTGCATATTCTTTGCCCATTTTTATAACCCTTTAAAAATGTGAAAACCATTCTTAGTTTGAGGGCTGAATAAAAATAAGCAGTGGGATATACAAAAAACAGTTACAGTTTGTAGTTTGGCAACCTTTGATCTAGACTCCCGGAGGCTAGTCCCAGCTTAGCTGTTTTATCTGTACCATTGGGCAAGTCCCTTAACTTCTTTGGGCCTAATTTCTAATCTATAAAATGAACAGCCTAAATTAAATATATCTGCGGTACATTTTCTCAAATCTGTGAGATGAATATAACTCTACAAGTTGAGCTGTAGGTGATGATCAAGCATCTATATGGAAATAGCTAGCAGATTATTTTGAGTGCAGAATAGGCTTTAAGGATTCAAATTTCTTCCTAGTTTAGACGTTGAATCACATATTTCCAGCTTCTAGATAAATACCTCAAACAATGATTAATTCGTAAGATAGCCAGTCACATTTTTAGCCAGCTATTTGTAATTAGTGATACATGCATACTTTCTTTGAATATGCCTCCTTAGAGTTAGTACCAATGAGCAAGTACTACATCTAGACTATTTAGGATTTAGTCTGTGCACTCTTCTAAACGTCACTGCTACGTTATAGTCCAAAGCTTAAAATTGAAAACTTTGTATTCTTCCACTCAGCAGGTAATTTGAATACATGCTTGATCCTAGGCACCTACCAAATTCTGGATATATAGCCTCCACTCTCTTGGTACTTAACATTTAAATTTAGTCTTCTTTAATGGTTTACACATTTCAAGGGTCTTTGGTCGTATCCATGTAATATAATTTCGGAAGCTAATTGCCTTCTGGATTAGATTTGGAACTGGAACAAAACCAAGGGAAAGCTAACAATGGAGATCTAGGAATGGATATAGTTGAAGCTATACTAATAGATGAAATCTCAAAAGAGAGAGAACCAGAAAGCCAAAGACTGAACATTTCTGGAGTTGGGGATGAAAAAGAGACACAGAAAAAAATATGAAAAGAACTTTAGAGATAAGGGGAGCACCTAGAAAATTTGCTATTATTGGAATCAAAGGGGAAAATAATTTCAAGAAGGAAAAGGTGGATCTACAACATTTATTGCTGTAGAGAAGTAGAGGAGAATGTAGATTAGGGAGCAGTTTTAAAACAACTAATGGCCACATGTTTTATATATTCTTTATGTATTATACAATGCAGTTTCATTTTTAACATTTTTATGCAGTATATTTTCACATTTGTGTGTTTTATGTCAGATTTAGAAATTTTAAGGTGATATTAAAATGATACACAGATGTGTTAAATTTTCATTTTTCAAGAAACTTATTGTAAACTGTTTAGTTTTTTACTCATTCTTAATTCTTTTCCCGCATCTTAAATGCATGCATTTGTTTGATTGTTTTTTTAACTAAAACTTGCTGTATATTTTAACTATGTAATTGTATTCATTATTTGCCCCTTTAATTGGTCTGAGTTTATTTTAGTACAACTTTTAAAGCAGTTGTTATTAGAAATTTTATCTCTAGATTTAGTCCTAATTAAATTCATTTCTGTGTGTTTGGTAATCCTTTAGATGAGGTGTGTGTGTGTGTGTGTGTGTGTGTGTGTGTGTGTGTTAAAGCTTTTAGGTTGAAACCTGGAAGCCACTTTTATGTAGATTGATTGCAGTACAGCTAACTTTACTGTCTCTTTCTGTCTCTTGTAAGTGACTTGAGATCATCCAGGGCACGACTCCTTGAACTGTTCACTGATTTGAGCTGTAATCCAGAAATGATGAAGAATGCAGCAGATTCATATTTTTCACTTTTACAAGGTAGTTATTTATATGAACTTGACGGTTTTTTTTAACAAAAAGGTCTAGAAGTTTACATTTAGTTCTTTGACTTTTCAGATTTGATTAGTTTACTCTTCCAGACTATATTCTTTGGAAAAGGGCAAGAAGTTTTATTCAGACACCTGGAAAAGTAATCTGAAAATTTTTCCAAACAGAACACTCAATATTTCTTCTAAAACTTAAATGTCTTGTATTTTTCTATAGGTTTTATAAATTCTTTGGATGACTCTACCCAAGAAAGCAAGTTACGATATATTCAAAATTTCAAGTGGACCGATACATTACAAGGACAGGTTCCAAGGTAAGCAACACTAAGGTAGTACTAAATTGGAGCCAGTTTTTGTAACTGTTTAGCCAGTGGTTAACTCATAGCCTCTGTGTTTAAAGAAGAAAAATACAGGTCTGCTCAGCATTTTCTCTTACCAGGAAATTAATTAAAAGCATTTGACCTCAATCCTAGTACATAGTAAATGAAAATGTAATTTGTTTCTCCCAACCAAATCTATTTTCGAGGTAATCAATACAAATGTTAACTACAGTTCAACAGCCTTGACCTTTAGTAACACACAAAGGTTGGTCTGAGGATTAAGAACCCAAACTGACATTCCACATGTGCCTACATTGAAGCTGAGCAGAATTTAAGTTTTTCCCTTACTTCTCTTTTGCTGATGGATACTTCATGTCTTCCGTTAGTCTTTCTCTGTCTCCTTCTTTCTCTCCAGTTTCATACTCTTGATTCATAGTATATGTTTCTTCTTTATCTCTCTTCCCTCTTTCTACTCTTTTTAAAAACTTCCTTTCAGAGCTTTACTTATCACTTACTTGAAACTATTTATGTGATGAAGACCTTAAGTCTTACAAAATATTCAGCACAAATGAGACTTCTACGTTACTTTATTCTTGATTGCTACTTAGTCAGTAGAAATAGTGTTGTCAGTATATCTATTCTGAAAAATATTTTTTCCATTATAGATACTATGACTACTACTTATATGTGGTGTCATAGAAATGGAGTGTTTGGAAACAAGGGATATTGACATAAATGAAGGATTATAAAGGAAGAGAGTTGTTCATGAGACTTTACATAAATTAGCCAATCTGTCCTATTATTTAAAGGTAAAGTTATAAGTTAGACATGTTCACTAGATCACCAGATGTAATTCATTTGATAGCTTCAGTGCAGGAAAGAATAAGCTATTAAACAATGTATTAAATTTTTTTCAGGAGGATAAAACTGTTTTGAGAAGTTTGTTCATAACTCATATTTTGATACTATGATCTATACTAAACAAGACAGTTTAGAAATTACTTTTTAATTACTACATATTTTATAATACTTTTTTTTTTTCTTTTTCCATTTAAAAAGTTACCATACCTCCATTTCTCTTAAGACAGGGGCAACATCCAACTAAAAAATATTATTTTGTAGTAAGTATGTCTAGTAGTATATCCACCTTTTTGTGAAATATTAATTGACTTGGCAATTCAAAATCTTTTAGTTTGTTCAAGTTTTCTACAAATGTACATTTCATGTGCATTTGTTCCTTTTCTAGGTGTCAGAATTAAAAAAAAAAAAATTTTTTTTTTTTTTGAGACATTCTCACTCTCACCCAGGCTGGAGTGCAGTGGTGTGATCATGGCTCATTGCAACTGCCACCTCCCGGGATCAACAAGTAACTAAAAAATACAAAGTAGGGTGATAATTCTTGTTTCTTCTTTTTGTGTAGCTTTTCTGTGTCTTAGTATTACATGTGTAAAATAAGGACATTCTGCTTTCTTCATTAGTTGAGATAAATGAGATCTTGTATAAAACATTTTCAGGTTCTTTTAAGAACAGTAGTGAATATACATTGGTGTGAATATCTTATTTGCTTGATATGCTTTTGCCATCTTTATTTCATACTTAGTAATAGAATCTAAAGGAAACAAAGTATAAAATATACTTGTTCAGGACATTTTTCCGGAATACTGATTGGCTAGGCATTCAAAATTTTGTACAGTTTGTCTTCAGCTTGCTTTTTGCCCTTCTTTTCCTTGATTTCTTTTTTACATACCATCTGCTCCAGTCAAGCTTATTGGGTCACTTCTGTCAGAAAATTTTTCATACTCTTTTTACGCTTGGATAGCATCGTTTCCTCACCTAGGATGTCCTTTTGCTTCCCTTCTAGTCATCTTTCCAGGGACAGTTCAAATGTTTATGTATCGTTAAACCTTCTTAATTATTCTAGCCTTAAACAATATCTCCTCTGAATTTTGTTTTTCTAAAATGTTGTATAACGGCCACACCTTTGAGAATCTACTGAGTACTTCTTAAAAATATAGATTCTAAGCCCCATTCCAGGCTTTCCGACTCTGGGATTAAGACCCAGAAATCTGTACTTTAAAAGCTATTCTATGTACAGTAAACTTTGGGAACTCCTATTCCCATGCTTATTATGAAGTACATAGTACCTTCTGGACCATTAGCCATTTGTAGTTAAATACCTGTATGTCTCATCTCCCCATCTATATTAAACACAACCATTCTCCTTATACATACCAGTTAGCATATACTTCTTTGTAATTTTGAGTTGGATGTCCAATAGGCTTTATGCTGTGATGTCTCGATAATTGACAGGACTTAATGATCATGTTTATAATTCCAGTGCCCAGCAGGATGCTGTTTTTGAATTAATTTCCATGGGATTTAATGTAGCTTTATGGTATACCAAGTATGCTTCAAGACTGGCTGGAAAAGAAAAGTAAGTTAAAAGGAGAAGATTATGTGCATCTGCATTATTTTTCAAGTATATGGATCTTCATTATTTTAAAAATCTGTTGTAAAAAGTACAACTTTGGACAAGTGAAGGATTACCTTATAATGTTAGTATTTTGCGTATCAGAATTATGGCACCTATTGTTAAAAGGTAAAAGAAATTTTAATAGCCTTGTCATGTGGAAGGTCTTGCTAAGTAAGACCCCAAATTGAAAAACCATAATGTAAAAGCATGAGTATTAACTACATAAAAGGATCATAAACAGAGTTAAAAAACAAATGGCAATATTGGTCAAAAACATTGCAATTCATTTGATAAATTATTTGCCTTTATAACATATACTCTTATAAATCAGGAGAGAAAACGCTATCAAATCAACTGAAAAGCAAAGGACATAAACAGGCAATTCACAGAAGACAAATACAGAAGGCTTATATTATGTGAAAAGATGTTTTGAAGGATTAAAGAACTTTCCCTAGTGTGCTCTTTCTTTTTTCTTTTTCACCCTTTGGCTTACCTTAAAGGTAACACATAGGCAATACAATTTTTTAATAGCTATAATAGATATAGAAATAGGAACCTGTCAAATTATGGTTTATCCATATATGGGAATAATATGTAACATTTGAAAATGAGGTCAAATTGTATGTGCTGATGTAAAATTACCTCTAAAGTAAATTAGGTGATTAAAAAAAGAGCAGAGTAATGATAATAGCTACCATTGTGTATCTGTGTGTTTCTTAAGCGTGTGTATGCATTAAGTGTGTAATATTTTGTCTTGTCTTACATGCACAAATGTCTGTAAGGAAAAATAAGAAGGCTTTGTCCGGATTTTGTTTTGTTTTGTGTTTTTTTGTAGAGGCGAGGTCTTACTATGTCTCCAAGGCTGGTCTCGAAATCCTGGCCTCAGGTGATTCTCCTGCCTTGGCTTTCCAAAGTACTGGGATTACAAGCATGATCCGCCATGCCTGGCTGCAGATTTTACCCGCAGTCAGGGTCTCTCTTTTTTCATTTGTAGTATCTTTTGGAGACGTATCGATATGTTTTGTCATCTTAATGTTATCTTTTTGTCATATACTTGTTTTCAATACCTTTTTATGGAATATTCATTGGCTTGGCATTCAAAATATTTTAGTTTGTACAGGTTTTCTACAAATATATATTTCATGTGCGTTTGTTCCTTTTCTAGGTGTCAAAATTAAATTTTTTTCTTTTTTGAGACATTCTCACTCTGTCAGCCAGTCTGGAGTGCAGTGGTGTGATCACGGCTCATTGCAGCTGCTGCCTCCCAGGTTTAAGTGATTCTCGTGCCTCAGCCTCCTGAGTAAATGGGATTACAGGTGCCTACCACCATACCCAGCTAATTTTGGTATTTTTAGTAGAGACAGCGTTTTGCCATATTGGCCATGCTTGTCTCGAACTTCTGGCCTCAAGCCATCTGCCCACCTTGGCCTCCCAAAGTCCTAGGATTACAGGCATGAGCCACTGTGCCCAGCCTCAAAATTAGATTTTTTTAAAAGGAAGAAAACTAGCCGTGAGAAACATAAATGACTACTTTGGATGTATAATAATGTATTGGTTGTTGTGTTTTAATACCAGAAATGGAATTCATCCTCTAACTAATGTAACCCCTATCTTTAAGCATAACAGAAGATGAAGCAAAAGAAGTTCATCGAAGCCTAAAGATTGCAGCTGGAATTTTTAAACATTTAAAGGTAAAACACACAAAAAACATTATCTGTTCTTAATGTTTTAATCCTTGAATAATTTTTCTTTTGGGGGCATATGGAGGAAGAATTGTTTCATTATATTAAAAAGTTAATATGTGTTCTGTCTTCCTTATGTATGTTATTGATGAGTGCAGCCAGTTACTAAATATTAAATGTCTCCATTTTTGTTTTAAAAACCAGTGACTTTACAATTAGAAAAATTAAGCTATAGTGCTCTGCTTATTTTTCTGTCTTTGAAAAGATAGGAGAAAAGAAAGCAGAAGCATTGATGGTTCTTACCCACTTCTCTACAGAAGTTACCAGGAGCAGTTCTGACTCTGCAAAACTGAACTTCTAATTGTAGTCTCTGTATCTCACTAAAAACATTAGAGGGACAATGAGTGTACTCTGGTTGTTTTAAATTGCCTAGAGATGTGATGGGAATTAGGAGAAAGAATATTGTGTCTTTTAAACAATTTCCCCTACTTCATTCTAATTAAATCACTTTATTGATGGCCTCCTAGAGGCCCGTGTTGAGTTTTTTCATGTTACATTAAGATGCTTTTATAGTGATTAAAAAGCTGTGATCCTGAATGAGGTGTAGAATTATAGTGGGTTTTTTTTTCCTTTATATCTTTTTTTTTTTTTGAGATGGAGTCTCGCACTGTCGCCTGGGCTGAAGTACAGTGGCACCATCTTGGCTCACTGCAACCTCCGCCTCCTGGTTTCAAGCGATTCTCCTGCCTCAGCTTCCCGAGTAGCTGGGATTATGGGTGCCTGCCACCATGCCCAGCTAATTTTTTGTATTTTTAGTAGAAACGGGGTTTCACCATGTTGGCCAGGCTGGTCTTGAGCTCCTGACCTTGTGATTTGCCCTCCTCAGCCTCCCAAAGTGCTGAGATTACAGGCATGAGCCACTGCGTCTACCCTCTTTATATCTTTAATTATTAATATGAATGAACAATTCAGGCTATCCTGCAAAAAGAATTTTGGTTACTATTTCAGTTGACATTTTTCAAAATGATAGTGTGACTTACATATCTCAGCAATCTATCATGACTTAAATTTTGTTCTTGAATTTCTTGTTCTTACAAAAGCTGAGTTTTAGTTTATTCTTTACAAGCTTACCATTGTTAGTTTTTATAGTTTTTGTTTGTACCCTAAATTTCCGCTAAGTCTCCAAAGTGAATGTCTCATAACTTCTATTTTCATCATCTCTAACAACTGGATTAAAATAAAATTTGGCTGCTTTTTGTCTTTTGTTGTTGTTCTCAGGAAAGTCATATCCCAAAACTCATTACACCTGCAGAAAAAGGAAGAGATTTAGAGTCACGACTCATAGAAGCATATGTTATTCAATGTCAGGCTGAAGCTCAAGAAGGTATCCTAAATATTGTAAGATTGTTTTAAATGAAAGTCTGTATTGGCATTTAATTCCTCTTTAAAAATCAGAAGTTGGGCACTATGGCTCACTCATGTAGTCCCAGCACTTTGAGAGGCCAAGAGTTCAAGACCAGCCTGGGCAAAGTGGCAAACCTCATCTCTACAGAAAATTCAAAAATTAACTGGGCATGGTGGCGCATGCATGTAGTCCCAGCTTCTCACAAGGCTGAGGTGGGAGTGATGGCTTGAACCTGGGAGGTCAAAGCTGCAAGACCACGCCACTGCACTTCACCCTGGGCAATAGTGTGAGACCCCGTCTCAAAACAATTAATTAATTAATCAATGTAAGTAAAAATCAGAATTATCTGGAATCAGGTTTTTAGATTTTGAGAAATTTTAGAATGAGGAATAAGTTTACCATTAGCATTTGCCTTCATTCTTAGCAGGAAAAAGTCTTATAGTTTAATGGCTCTTTTTAAGAGGATTTTGATTTCACATCATTTCTGACAGTACAACATTAATTCTTCAATTCATCTTTTCTTTCTCTAGTGTGCTCATTCTTTTTTCTCTTTCATCCTTTGGCTTACCTAAAGTCTTCACCTTTCAGTGGCAAGTAATAATGATACTAACGTGAAACAATACAGAAACTTTGTAGGCTTTCATTTTTCTTTATTTCAAACTCTAGTGTTCCTCTGAAAATGGCTGGGATGGTGGCTCATGCCTGTAATCTCAAATCTCAGCACTTTGGGAGGCCGAGGCAGGAGAATTGCTTGAGCCTAGGAATTTGAGACCAGCCTGGTTAGTATAGCAAGACCTCCATCTCTACAAAAAAATTTTTAAAAATTAGCCAGGTGCCATGGCATGCACCTGTAGTCCCAGCCACTCAGGAAACTGAGGCAGAAGGATCACTGGAGCCCAGGAGTTTGAGGCTTCAGTAAGCCATGATCACACCACTGCACTCCATCCTGGGTGACAGCAAGACACTGTCTCAAAAGAAAAAAAAGAATTTCCTGTTATATCATGCTGTTTTGTAATAGTGATTCACTGATTATTTATTTAAAGAAGTGGTGTCAGAACCAACAGGCTCAGTGTTTTCTATTTGTTAATGTTTGCATTTTCTATAACTTTGCATGTTAAAACATTTAACAAACTGTATTAAAATCCCAGAGAGATTGTCAGACTGTCTTTTGCTATTATAATTGAATTTAGGATGAATGGAGTGAATTTAATTATAGACTCCCTTTTTTATGTTTGGTTACAGTAACAATTGCTCGAGCAATTGAACTAAAACATGCTCCTGGACTAATTGCTGCACTGGCGTATGAAACAGCCAATTTCTATCAAAAAGCTGGTAAGCTGCTAATTCTGTTGTTACATTTTTAGTCTTCAGATTTTCAGATTTATTTGATCTTTTTTTAATGGAGACAAAACAAAAGATTTCTCATTCTGTCATTATTTGCAAAACTGGAGTAATATATATTATTTACCGCATTTAAAATAGAACTATTCATATTTAATATGCTGCATAACTTCTAATGGAAGAGAAAACCAGTGATGTCTAATAAAATTATACAGCGTTTGGCTTAAAATTTTCTTTTGGTCTTTATAACAACCTTATAGTTACTCTTCTTATTTAGATAAGAATGTGAAATCCAGAGAGTTAACATGACTAACCCATAATTTAACTGCTAGAAAGTGCGAGATTGGGACTAGAACACACTACTGCAATAAGCCTGTTAACTCTTCATTCACTTATTTAGGAAACATGCAAATTTTTTTTATGGGATGGTTACTATTTTTGTTGCTAAGGAGAGGCAAGTAGAAAGGATTTGCAGTTTAGGGAAGGAGACAAACATGTAAACTCATTATTATATCCTGAAGTAAGATATCACAGCAGTGAATTAGAAATCTTAACAAGCTGGGCATCCTAGAGAAGGACTCTAGAAGAAGATGCTTTAGCCTTATTGTGAAGTGTAAATAAAAGTCTTATGTTCCCTAGGAAGCTTTCAAGTTTGGGTGTAGAATTCTTTAGTAAGTACAAAGATAAGAAATAACTTAGTGCATTCTGGAAACTTCAGACAGTTGCTCTTACCTGAAACACAGGATGAGTTGCAGGAGAAGAGGTTGAAAAAGTATGCATGCTTGGGATCAAACATTGGTTTGTAAGCCTTTGACCTTTCATTCTGTAGATATTTGGGACCTGTTAAAAGATTAGAAGGCTGACTTGATAGGATTTGAATTTAAGACAGGTCCCTATAGTTGCAGTATTAGAGATGGGCTTGCTACATGAAGGAGTAATAGGCTAGCTAACTTGACTTGGCACTTAAGAAATTCTTATAGTTTATGAAGGAAATGATGAAAGCTTTGACAAATACAGCAAAGTAGCAAATAGAGAGGAAAAAATAGATTTGAGAGATGTTTGGTAGAAGGATTTGGAGAGGAGAGGAGAGTATTCTATTTCCGACTTGAGTGACTAAACCACTGTTTGCTTTGCTATATTATATAAGTTTTTTAAATTAGATAATATAGCAGTATAAACAATATTCACTTTGAAGTTCTTGGTCACAATCTATTTTTATCATTATCTTAAAGTTGTATTAACCGTCAAATCAAAGAGCTGCCATAGTATTTAACCAGTCTTGTGTAACTTAAAGTATAGATTTGGGAAAATCCCTTCAAGTAAAGGTGTTTTTTTTAAAAAAGTTAATTTCTTGAGTCTTAGACTTGAATGGCATTCTTTCTGCTTTTAGCATCACAACACGTGAACTAAAAGTCTTCTAGTGAATCAGGGTGAAATTATATTTTGCTTTTTAAAATGTAACTTTAGATCATACTTTATCCAGTTTGGAGCCTGCATTTTCTGCTAAATGGAGAAAATATCTTCACTTGAAGATGTGTTTCTACACAGCTTATGTAAGTATTCATAATGCTAAAAAACAATGTAAATTATTGTCTCTCCAGCCCTTGGAGTGCCAGGTCTCTCATCTCACCAGAGTCTTCATTAGCATTTTACGAATAATGGACAGCTAACTCTCAGTAAATGTTTACTGAGAGTCAGTGCAACCATTGTGAACTAAAGTTGGTGGAAAGAGATGATGTAGCATTGTAGAAGTGGATTATAGCAATAGAATTACTGTTTGATTCAAAACCCACTGTTAGCATGCTTAATGAAATTCTTTAAATTGTTTCATCCTGTGCATTGAGAAACACATTTATTAATTCTAATATTAAAGCATACCACACAGTGTGGAATCACCTAGCTTGGTGAAGAATCATCAGTGAACATCATTTTGGAAGTTAAGTATCAGTCTGTTATACCTACTAAACTTAATTGTTTTATTAATTAGAATATCATATGAGAGATCATCAAAAACCTTTTTCAGGTCTAAGTCGATAAGATTTCTTATATCTCCTCTTCCTCTGCATTAGCACAATAATTTCCTCCTTTATCTACTATTTCCTAAATTTTAAATACAGATTTCAGCAAACAAGTTTTGCTCATTACGTGGTTAGAAGGCTATTTTGGCTCAAGACCTGATGTATTTCCATTTTTTCTATGAACAGAGGTTGGGGAAGAGCTTAATCAAGTAAAGCAATGTAAGGGATTACATTGATACTTCATTGTATGGAGGTATTAATTTATCTGATCAACACATAGAACAATAATAGGGGAAAGCATCTCGAAGGGAGAGAATGAATAAAAATGTGTTTATTTCATCAGGCTTACTGTTATCATGGTCAGACTTTATTGGCTAGTGATAAATGCGGTGAAGCAATCAGGTCTCTTCAAGAAGCAGAAAAATGTAAGTATTCCTGCCAAAATACTAACTCTTTTAAAAAACAAATGACTTTATCATAAAAGGGAGTATGTGCTTAAAGAGATTTTGGCTGTGTTGATGAAAGGAAAATGGGAATGGATGAGAAAAGAAAAAAATGTTTCAAAAACCTAGAACCTGTAGAAAATACTCACCTTCTACTTACAGGATTATTATTGGTATTGCTATTATATTAAGAGCAGTAAATGTCTTACTACCTTCAACTTAAAGCCTTGTAGGTATAAATAGGCAGTGTTAATTATAATCAAAGACTTTATATCTCTTTCACGTGTAGTATATGCAAAGGCAGAAGCACTGTGTAAAGAATATGGAGAAACCAAAGGACCTGGACCAACAGTCAAACCTTCAGGACATCTGTTCTTTAGGAAGCTTGGAAACCTTGTGAAGAACACCCTAGAAAAATGTCAGAGGGAAAATGGATTTATGTGAGTACAGCTTAATATTATTTTAGTAATAATATATTGATTTATAATTATATTAAAATACTAATATTTTAGTAATATCATTTCTGTTAGTCTCTATTCCCAAAAGTTTTATGTTAAATAGCACTTACGGGCTAGGTGTGGTGGCTCACAACTGTAATCCCAGCACTCGGGGAGGCCAAGGCAGGTGAGTCCCTTGAGCCCAGGAGTTTGAGACCAGCCTGGGCAACATGGCAAAACCTGTCTATACAGAAAATACAAAGCAATTAGCTGGCCGTGGTGCACGCCTGTAGTCCAAGCTACTCAGAATGGTGAGGTGGGAGAATCATTTGAGCCTGGGATGTCCAGGCTGCAGTGAGCCATGACCGAGCCACTGCACTCCAGCCGGGGCAAGAATGAGACACTATCTCCAATATATGTAGTATTTATGTTTCACATTAGTTTCCTCTTTACATTAGTGATAAAGTTCAATTATGTGGGGCCTTTTATTCTACTTTGGATGATAATATATAAAAGCAGACTTTAAAATTAAAACATTAGTTATTAACGTAGAGTTCATTTCATTAGGACACTCACATAGTGTCCTGATTTTCTCTTAACCATCCCTGCCATTCTTTCTCCATGTTTTAATGTATCTTCTCAACCACCTTTGCATCTTCATCTCACTCTGGTTTCAGCTCTCAGCTTTTCTTTTTTTTTTTTTTTTGAGACGGAGTTTCACTCATGTTACCCAGGCTGGAGTGCAATGGCGCGATCTCGGCTCACCGCAACCTCCGCCTTCTGGGTTCAGGCAATTCTCCTGCCTCAGTCTCCTGAGTAGCTGGGATTACAGGCACGCACCACCATGCCCAGCTAATTTTTTGCATTTTTGGTAGAGACGGGGTTTCACCATATTGACCAGGATGGTCTCGATCTCTTGACCTCGTGATCCACCTGCCTCGGCCTCCCAAAGTGCTGGGGTTACAGGCTTGAGCCACCGCGCCCGGCCTAGCTCTCAGCTTTTCTTGTTTTGTTTTTCAAGAGGTTTTCCATTATTAAATCAGTGTTTTTCAAACTGTAGATTACCATCTGTGTAGTTGGGTAGACTCAATCTTATTCCTGCTTTTATCTCCTTACATTCTTCCCTTTATATTTTTCATCTATACATACTGAGCTTTTCACTTCCTTCAACATGCCTAGTTCACCTTTAATCATTTCCTTTGGAAAGAGTTACTGAACTTAATTCTGGGTTAATTCCCCTTGTCTGCATTCTTACAGCACTCTATATCCATGGTAGCTCCAATATATTGCATTGTAATTGACAAAGTTTCTTGATTTTGTCACTTACTTATCTATATGAGGCAGAAAAACCTCTTATTCATGATTAAAATGTCATTGTCCCAAACAGGACCTTGAACATAGTAGGCTCTCAAATAATGAACAAATGAATGAATTGCTATTTAAATTACTTTTTGCAGTTACTTTCAAAAAATTCCAACAGAAGCCCCACAGCTGGAACTCAAAGCAAATTATGGTCTCGTAGAGCCTGTACCTTTCGAATTTCCTCCTACAAGTGCTCAGTGGACACCAGAAACATTGGCTGCATTTGATCTCACCAAAAGACCCAAGGATGACAGTGTATGAGATTGGTTTTTGTTTTGTTTTGTTTTTTGCTTTCATTACCAAAAGTTTAAAAGAAAATTCAGAGTTAGCATTTTGATATTTTTCTTTATTTAAATAGATACGTATCTTTGTCTAAATGCTAAGTTAGATAGTTATAGTGCTTAGTATAATCTGTGGTAGAACACTCTCAGAGATAAGACCTCTAGGCCTTATGTCTTTTGAATAATGACATTCTTTTCAACACATTATCTTGCCTCTTTACAACTTGTCAGTACCACCTTTAAAAAGTGTGGGAGAAAAGATCATCCATGTTTATATTGCTATAGCAATACTCTGTTTTTGTTTTAGCAAATTGCAGAGCGTTTGAGGATTTGGCCTAATTACAGTATTCTATGAATCTAGGAATAAAATAAGAATACTTTTATTTATTGCTATCTAAGTACATCTTGGTGTTCTAAATCAAATGATAAATTAAGTGGAAATTTTGAGGTCTAACTACCAAAAGACGAGGGATCTGTGACGAATGAATGAAAATTATTTTATAGCCATTGCTCCTTCCTTGAAATTGGGTTTTGTTTATATAATTTCCTTCCCATATTAAAATTTGTTCCTTAAAATAACTGTCTTTATATTCTGATCAACTATGAAATAATGCCCTAAGAGATAGCCTATTAATGTCATAAGTTATGTCTAACCTTTAGGGTTCTACATGTATAGATAGACCACTTAGAAAAGAATATGTAGTAGGAGTACCCTTAGCTTGATTTTTGCCTACCAAACTAGGTTTTGATCTTTACTGAAATGTTGCTTTCTGATTATATCTTAAAATGAATTGGTCTGTAGTTTCTGGAATAGCTTTGTCAGTATCCATGTTATATAATTTAATATAACATCTTTTAAAAGTCTGAATGGAAAAGATTTAGTGTTTGTTTTCTCAATCTTCATTTATGTACTTAAACTGTATTTTCTTTTTTTTTCTTCCTAGACTAAACCCAAACCAGAAGAAGAAGTGAAACCCGTGAAAGAACCAGATATCAAACCTCAGAAGGACACTGGGTGCTACATCTCCTAAAATACAATTTGCACTTAGAATTTCTCTAGCCGTAGATAAGATAAACCACAGAGTTGCAGCTCTCATTTCTCAAAATGATTTCTCTGAAGCTTGTAGAATAACTATTGCATTCAGAGGTATCTGCCTTCAGCTTGTTCTCGATTTTTAATACAGGAGGTGTTTGTTGCTTTGTTTTCAGATTCTCCTTTTTAATCAGGACAACATTTGGAAGATTTTATTGTGCCTCTAAAGGGTATATTTGGGGGTTGGGTCTTTTTGTTAAACTCTGGATAGTAATAAGTTTCAGGTCAATATAGGCCCAAATTCTGGTTTCAGGTACGTTTTTTCTTTTTTCTTTTCTTTT